AGAGTCTCTCTCTTTCTGCTCTGCCATTTCGCAGTGTCATACCCTGTGTCACTGAAGTCAGCACCAAAGAAAGTCTTCACCCGATGTGTTCCTTGGACTTTGGACTTCTCAGCCTCCAAAACTGTAAGCAATAAATTTCATTTTTTTTTACAAATTACCCAGTTCTAAAGATTTTGTTATAAGCAACAGAAATGGACTAATGCATGCCCTTTGTCATCCAACCAGCCCAGTGCCAGCAAGAAAGCAGTCCTGTCTCGGGAAGTCACATCATCTCGCCAAGCCTCCACTCGCTCTTCTGTGAGTGTAGGAGTGTATTAATACCTAACTTGCTGATAGCACTACCATGAAGAGTGACAGAGGTCATGCGAGAGTGCTCTCCCAGGGCTTGCCATAGGATGGGGGACTTGAGGCTTTCCCCTTCCCTTCCTCCCACCTCCCTCTCTCCCTTATGTGTCATCAACATGAGATGAAACTGATGCTGCCACCACTAGGTCTTGTCTCCTGGGTGGTGATGTCAAGGCTGGTGATTGGGAATTGGAGCCCATCACTCCTTCCGGACAGAAGTTCACCCCTGGAGAAGTTGGGTGACTGTGCTGCTTCTCACACGCCCCCCACCCACTACATCAACCTGACTGAAGAAAGAGCTTATGTGCAGGTTAAGTTGCTCCCTGCTTTTGCCTAGTTTGCAAAATATTACATTTCCTTAGCTCTAGAGGAACAGAAAGATCAACCCTTTTACTATGAAAATAACTTGAGCTGTCAATTTCCATTATAATGTGTCTTAAATGACCTCCTTACCTTCTGAATTCCTTACTTAGTCTTTGGATCTCAGTGTCCTCATTTAAAATGGAGATGATAGTATTTACTTCCACCCGGCTGTCTGAGGACCAAATGGGGGCTTTCTAAACCATTAAACTTATTCTAATGTTTAATACCATTGTGACAGTGTGTGTGCATTTTTTTCTTTTGTCTGAAAGTTCTGGAAATATAGGAATCATCTCCATCTTTTCTCTGTTGCATCTCCAGTGCCTGTGCAAAATGCTAGGCACATAGTAAGTATTCAGTGAATGTTTTCTGAACAAACCAGAGATCTTCAGACTCATCTTTATTGCCTTATACTCTTTGATGATGATGATGATGATGATGATGATGATTTTAAATAAGAGGTGTGGCTGCAAGCATTCCTAATCTATCCCTCAACCCACAACTTGCAGTCCCCATCCTAGGTCCTGGGCTGGAGTTCCTGGATTCACAATTCATGGGATAATCTCGACTAGCCAACATTGGACCATAGTGCTTGAAAGTGGCAAATACAAGGAGATTGGAGCACTGAGGACTGATGCAACACGTAGTGCACATTACCCTATGTTACTCTGAGGAATAGGAGGGTTCTTGTCCACTTTCAGGGAAAGGAGAGGAAGTAAACAAAACAGCACTGTGGTCTGAATGATACCTGAAAGATGCATGCATGACAAGCCAAGGATGGCTAGACCTAGCTTGATGTTCCTAGGCACAAACTCAGATGATTCACCCACTGTTGACCCCATCTTACAAACAGGAGCTGTGTATGTTTCCCATGATACCTCATTTATTCGTTTAACTAGGGCTTATCATGTCTGTGCAAAAGACCAGGACAAGCCTGGCTCTCTACAGGTGTTCAGTAGAGTTGACTGATTAAATAATTACATGCAGGAGATGTCCTGTCCCCTTTCCTTGTATCATTTTTTTCCCTAGCCCTTAATACCTCTAACACACTATTCATTTTCCTTACTTATTTTGTTTACTACATGTTTTTCCCAAATTTTTAAGCTTCATGAAGCAGAGATGTTTACCTTTTTGTCTGTTTTTTAACTCTGCTATATGCTTAGACTAGAAAAGTCCCTAGTACATATTAAGCATGCAATAATTATTGTTTGTTTATTTAGTTAAATAGCTAATTTTCCGGATAGTGTTCTTACTACTTTATGTAAAACAAAACCAAACACGAACATCCAAATACACCCCTTTTTTATGGTGTAAATGCCTTAGAATATATTGTCGGATTCCCTGCCTTTCTAAAGCATAAATAATAAGAATACGTAACATTTTTAACACTTATTTCACTTGGTAAGAAGTGCTTTATTGAATTAACTCATTTAATCCTTATAATAATCTTTCTCCTACAGATGAGGGAAATGAAGCATAGAGAGTTTAAGTGATTTCCCAAAATCACCCAGCAATTAAGTTACAAACCCAGCATTTGAATCCAGGCAATCTGGTGTGAGAGTCTGAGGGCTTAACACCAAACTGTTTGTGACCATAAGTTATAGGTTGTTTGCAAAGAGTCAATACTTCTGTTATGAAGGCTGACTCTTCTATCACAGTGACTCCCTCAAGAGATATTGAGCTGGGAGGGGTTTCTTGCCACACAGACCACAGAGTATTGTAATTTTGTAATCGACACTTCTTGTCTTTTATTGTCAGCTGATGCTGGTTGATGTTGTCAGAACTTTTCTGAGAAGTCCTGTGGCAATGATGCTTCTGATCTGCTTTATCCAAGAGGAAACCAGATCATGAAGACTTTGTTTTTATGCCCCAAGGGAATTAACCTACTAAATCCTGTTAGCAAAGTCCTGGAGAACTCTATAAATTGTAGAGAATCAATAACTTCTGAAGTATAACTTCTCCAAAGACTGTGGCCATTGAGAAGACGTTCTCTATAGTCTCCAAGAACAGAGGTGTCCTGGTGTTGGGAGGCAAGTGACCTCGTCAACTACTAATGGCCCTGTGGCCCTTTCTCCTGCAGCTCTGACTGTGTGATATGTGCTGGGTTAATGTTAAGTGTGTGTGTGTGAGTGTGTGTGTGTGTGTATATGAGTGAGTGTGTGTGTGTGTGCGTGTGTGTATGAGTGAGTGTGTGTGTGTGTGTGAGTGTGTGTGTGCGTGTGCGTGTGCCTTATCTTCATTGCTCTTCTATTCTCATTGTGTTCCAAAAAGTCAATGATAGGTAAAACAGATCGATGTACACCTGAATCTTATTTATGGAGCACAAAGTGCCGCCCCCCCACTACAACCCCCCGTTTAGCCAGAAAGCAATTTTCATCTTGGAGGTATGTCAGGTTCTAAGAATTCTATTAGCATGAGTTGTTCAGTACTAAGGCAATAACGTAGACATGAAAGGATTCAATATAATTCATTGACATGAAATAAAGGTAATAATGTGCATGGGCTTTGTGATGCCCAGAAGTCATGTGCCCTTGTATCTGGGTGTGTGATTGGGCAGGGGATAGAGGATGGCAGAAGCCTCCCTTCTATATAGATTATACAACTTTATATTAACCAGTTCACTGTCTTGACATTATGAAACCAATACGAAAGCACTAACTACATAAAATTGGGTCCAACCAGATATATGGCCAGTTATTCCTTTCTCAGACATAGTTTTTTCTCCTTTTAAGACATAAATATTGACAAGTATGGAAAGAAATTCAGTGGTGATCATCAATATTTTCATTAGTTGGAATCAAAGATCCATGTGGCAGGAAACATTTTCAACACTTATTTTGCATTAGGCATAGTACCAATGGCTTTATTGGATTAACTCATTTAATCTTCACAGTATGAATTTAAAGCATGAATGTGAATAATATGGGAAAGCCTGTAGAAAAAACTTCTCCCTTATCTGATATCGGAGAAGCCAGACTTGGAGAAACCTGTGATTGTTCCCTCTGGCTAGGAATCTCACTCCTTATTTCTACTTTCAAACTCTTCATTCATCAAATATTGCCTTCTCCATGAAATCTTTCAGATTTCTCCTACGACATGAGATTGATTTTCCCTCATTTACATCCCCCAAACCACCTGGTTATATAAACCAATGGCATTGATCCCATTCCACCAGGCCCCATGTTCTCCGAGAATGTGTGGTGTGCTATGAGCAGTGAATATGGAATCATAAGACATTAGTTTGACTTTTCTGAGGCCACCGAGAAAGTGGTATTAAAAACTGTATTACCTACCTCAGGGGTCTTATGAGACTCAGTCAGAAAACATAGAGATAGTACTTGGATAAGTGGAAACACGGTTTAAAGAATATGTTACTGAATATACCTTGAAACAAGTGCTGGACTGAATTCATCTTTGTGTGTTCTGTGACCTCTTGAAAGATGCCTAGGAACTAGCGATCTTGCTTAAGTTGTGTCAAATGAATAATTTTAGGAGACAACCAGATGCCTTCTTAGGAGCTGAGTAGCACTGAAACATCTCAAGAGCATCTTCCCCAAGACTCAGAAGCAGGCTTCACATCCCCTTAGCAGGAGCTGGATTCTTTCAGGCAAATGAAACACCGCAGGCTTCCTTTTGATGGCTGAGATGACACGAGATCAAGAAAGATGCTTTTGTCGGTAAAGGGGAGACACTTTTTCTTAAAACTTTCTTTAATGTGATGAATTTCTTGATCATGAGGTCAGAAGACTCAATGTCAGAGATGTGAGAGGCATGCTCTCTCTATGGGGAAGAACAGCAACATTTGGCCAAGTTTGATTCCCAAATGCAGGCAGGCTTGGTTTTCTGCAGAAGGCTGTATTTGCAAGGTGGCGGAACAATTTCCATGGCAACAGACTGTCTGGTGTCAGAAGAACAGAAATGAAAGCTCCATGTGCCAGCCCAGTATTTATGTGATGCTTGTCACATTGCCTTCTACAACACAAAAAGGGCTTGGTCTCTCAGCAAACGCACTTCTATCCAAATGATGCCAGTGTGGAAATCATGCCATTTCTATCAGTATTATCACATCTAAAGGTTGAGTGTGCTAGCTGTGGCCTGTAAAAATTTTGATAGTCTGAATGGAGCTGTGAGGGTCCTTGTAAACAGGTTTTGCTGGCCCTTCAGGGGTTAACATCAGGGATGGTGAAGGAGTCAGCTAGGGTCTGGGGCTTGGTTTCCTAGGCGAAGATGACATTGCCATTGGACCTGAAACTTGCTGCAGGATGAGGGGGGTGAGGAAGTGTGCTCAGAGAACCTGGATAAACCCTTAATTCCACAAGGCTGACCAGGCAGGGTGTGACTGAGCAGGGAGTTTGGTCTGGTCTGTGTTAAGTCCTCTGCTCCCAGTTGCTGTGGGCACTTTCCTGTAATTGCAATTGATGGCCCTCCAGAGAAGCTCTGCTCTTACCTTTGGGTCCCCACCTCTGATGCCTTCCAAGACTTTCCCACCGTTTGTACCCTGGACATCTCAAACCAAAGACTCTCCTCTTGGCTTCTTTCCTGACCCCAGGCTTCACCACCAACCACAAAGCCCTATAGCATTGCTGCTCAAGACTTATCCCTTTCTGACTCATTCCTGTCTGCCCAAACCATAGGCCAAACACGTCAGGAGAAGCCCAGCCACCCCTCCCTTGTTCCGTACCCCAGAAACTGATGCCAAGTATTATTCGCAAAAGGGAGGAACTTTCTATTACTGTTGGTCAGCAAGATGCCAGCAGATAGCATGTAGATGAACATTTTTTAAAGTGAGTGAGTGGAGATTAAAATGTTCTGCAATCACCATGGTAATGGTTGTACATATTTGGGAACGCACTGAAGACTTTTCAATTGTACACTTTAAGTGGGTGAATTGAATGTACAGTATGTAAATTATATCTCTATAAAGCCGTTTTACAATAGATCTTTAGTACGCCACAGTGATTATAGTTAATAACATTGTATTGAATATTTGAAAATTGCTAAGAGACTGAAAAAATGATAAGTATGTGCGATAATGCATTTGTTAATGAGATCATATACAAACTCCAAAACATCACAGTGTACACCATATCTACAATTTGTCAATTAAAAAAAGCAGTTTAAAGAAAAATTTAAGTGAGTTAGTAGAAAAATACGGGCCGAGCCCGTGGCGCACTTGGGAGAGTGTGGCGCTGGGAGCGCAGCAGCGCTCCTGCCGCGGGTTCGGATC